TCAAGCTGATATGAGTCATAATATAGTCAAAAATCTCTTAAAATTAGAAATATTGACCCATTACATTTAGACCTTTGTTCAAATGGGAAAACGCCTTTAAAATCTACAATAAAGTTAATCTTAAGATTTCTTCTTGGCTGCTGATAGTAAATAGCATTTCAAACCTGTGAGCAAAGCTTGAACACTATGATACAATATTTCTAATTTTAAGAGATTTTTGACTATTTTATTACTCATATCCCCTCAACCAGAAATGCGATAATGCCTTTAAAATCTACAATAAAGTTAATCTTAAGATTTCTTCTTGGCTGCTGATAGTTAATAGCATTTCAAACCTGTGAGCAAAGCCTGAACACTATGATACAATATTTCTAATTTTAAGAGATTTTTGACTATTTTATTACTCATATCCCCTCAACCAGAAACGCGATAATGCCTTTAAAATCTACAATAAAGTTAACCTTAAGATTTCTTCTTGGCTGCTGATAGGTAATAGCATGTCAAACCTGTGAGCAAAGCCTGAACACTATGATACAATATTTCTAATTTTAAGAGATTTTTGACTATTTTATTACTCATATCCTCTCAACCAGAAATGGGAAAACGCCTTTAAAATCTAAAATTAAGTTATTCTTAAGATTTCTTCTTGGCTGCTGATAGTAAATAGCATTCCAAATATGTGAGCAAAACCTGAACATTATGATACAATATTTCTAATTTAAGAGATTTTTGACTATATCATTACTCATCTCCCCTTGACCAGAAGTGGGATAACGCTTATAAACACGACAAATAATGGAATCTTAAGATTTCTTCTTGGCTGCTGATAGTAAATAGCATTTCAAATATGTGAGCAAAGCCTTAACACTGATACAATATTTCTAATTTTAAGAGATTTTTGTCTATATCATTACTCATATCCCCTCAACCAGAAGTGGGATAACGCTTATAAACACGACAAATAATGGAATCTTAAGATTTCTTCTTGGCTGCTGATAGTAAATAGCATTTCAAACCTGTGAGCAAAGCCTGAACACTATGATACAATATTTCTAATTTTAAGAGATTTTTGACTATTTTATTACTCGTATCCCCTCAACCAGAAATGGGAAAACGCCTTTAAAATCTAAAATTAAGTTATTCTTAAGATTTCTTCTTGGCTGCTGATAGTAAATAGCATTTCAAACCTGTGAGCAAAGCCTGAACATTATGATACAATATTTCTAATTTTTAGACATTTTTTACTATATCATTACTCATCTCCCCTCGACCAGAAGTGGGATAACGCTTATAAACACGACAAATAATGGAATCTTAATATTTCTCCTTGGCTGCTGATAGTAAATAGCATTTCAAATATGTGAGCAAAGCCTTAACACTATGATACAATATTTCTAATTTTAAGAGATTTTTGACTATATCATTACTCATCTCCCCTCAACCAGAAGTGGGATAACGCTTATAAACACGACAAATAATGGAATCTTAAGATTTCTTCTTGGCTGCTGATAGTAAATAGGATTTCAAACCTGTGAGCAAAGCCTGAACACTATGATACAATATTTCTAATTTTAAGAGATTTTTGACTATTTTATTACTCGTATCCCCTCAACCGGAAATGGGAAAACGCCTTTAAAATCTAAAATTAAGTTATTCTTAAGATTTCTTCTTGGCTGCTGATAGTAAATAGCATTTCAAACCTGTGAGCAAAGCCTGAACATTATGATACAATATTTCTAATTTTAAGAGATTTTTGACTACATCATTACTCATCTCCCCTCGACCAGAAGTGGGATAACGCTTATAAACACGACAAATAATGGAATCTTAAGATTTCTTCTTGGCTGCTGATAGTAAATAGCATTTCAAACCTGTGAGCAAAGCCTGAACATTATGATACAATATTTCTAATTTTAAGAGATTTTTGACTATATCATTACTCATCTCCCCTCGACCAGAAGTGGGATAACGCTTATAAACACGACAAATAATGGAATCTTAAGATTTCTTCTTGGCTGCTGATAGTAAATAGCATTTCAAACCTGTGAGCAAAGTCTGAACATTATGATACAATATTTCTAATTTTAAGAGATTTTTGACTATATTATTATTCATATCACCTTGACTAGAAATGGGAAAACACCTGTAAAATCTACTCTTAATGGAATGTTAAGATTTATTCTGGGCTGCTGATAGTAAAGAATATTTGAAACTTGTGTGCAGAATCTGAATGCAATGGGTCAATATTTCTAATTTTAAGAGATTTTTTACTATATCATTACTCATCTCTCCTAGACCAGAAATAGGATATTGCCTTTAAAATCTACAATTAAGTTAATCTTAAGATTTCTTCTTAGCTGCTGATAGTAAATAGCATTTCAAACCTGTGAGCAAAGCTTGATCGCTATGATACAATATTTCTAATTTTAAGAGATTTTCTACCTTTTTATTACTCATCTCCCCTTGACCAGAAATGGGATACGGCCTTTAAAATCTACAATTAAGTTAATCTTAAGATTTTCTTTTGGCTGCTGATAGTAAATAGCATTTCTAATTTGTGAGCCTAATCTGAATGCTATGGGTCAATATTTATAATTTTAAGAGCTAGTTGACTATATCATTACTCATCTCCCCTCGACCAGTAGCTGCATAAATGTAATGAGTTTTGTTTAATGATCATTGTCATTCACATTTCCAACCTTTGAGAAACATGTACTTTGACAATAAGCTGTGCATATGAAACTACATAGTTTTAAAAAAAGCCTCGTCCCTTCACAACTGTACAGGCTAACTGATCATCATGGATGGACTGACAGCACAATGTATGACATTGTGCTAGGTCTGTACCTGCCTGGATAGAAAACACAGAAAAAAGTAAAACATAAAGGTATAATGACTTACCTTTATGATCTCGTCTTTCAAAGAAATATTATCTTAGAAACCCCAGCCACTTGGCCTTCAACAGCAAGGACCAGACGACCATTTTGATCAAGTTGTGAAGAGAGGATAACTCTTACTGTTGCTTTGTCTTGCAAATATTAATGTCAATGATGACAGAGCATGAGATAACAAGTTCAATTCTGTATTAGTAATGGGTTTATTAAATATATGTTAATTTGAAGCCTTTGTAAATATTTCAATCATATTAAATGATATTATTTAGATTCAATATGTAACAGAGACCATAAAATATTTATGGTCTCTCCATATATATGAGGACATTTTGCTGGCCAAACTGTTATGAAAGCTAAAATGTATATATGTCAATAAGCTACCAGGAATGGTTCAATGAGTTTACCAGTTATTTTAATGCTGATGGAGATTTTGTAATACGGAGTATTACATATGGTCCTTTTTCCTTTAAAAAATGAAGAGAAAAAGAATAGGGTGGTGGGTGAATCAAAGGAACATTAAAGAAATCTTTTTCAACAATTTCTACTCTAATAATTATATATGTAATTAGTTTCTTTTATTCTTTAAGTTAGACGTCTAAGATGAAGCACAAACTCTCTCACATCCCACATCTGCTATGCCTGGAAACAGTTACAGGCACTTCCAACATTAAAATAAATAGTTGCTTTTATCATAATGTACACTATAATAAAATGGAGTGATTTTGAATAATTGTTACCACTAAAATCTAGCATTATAGTTATAATAATATTTATAAAAAATGACTTTGGGACTTGAGAATACAAACAAAAATACACGCATCAGTTGCCAGAGGGCTGTGAGGTATTGGGGCTTAGAAATCCCTTGAATAGTACAAATGTAATTGTACCCCTTTTAACTCTGACATGTTGAGTATTCATTGTTTGATGTTTAATGACAGACTTAGTAATATTCAAAATAAATAATATTATTTAATTAATGTACATACCCTCCCACATATGTATTGTAAACATGATCGCCATCTCCAAGACAGTTTCCTCATGTATATGAAAAGAAATGTTTTCTCTTGAAAAATAGAATAACACAAACATCCTAGGAACTTGAATTATTACACTTGTATCCCCACCAATGAGTGGCATAACATCTTTAAAATACATAAATTAGAGAATAATTTTATTTTCATTTGGCTTATACTATTTTGTAGGAAAACACTGTGTTCAGAAGTGGCCAAGATAACTATTTAACAGAAATTTACTGTTCTTAAACATGTCACCACCTCACAAAGGTTATGATATGATAGACAATCAAATAATACATTTGGCAGTGGTATCATGGTTAGAAATTAAACATGGAAATGGGCAGTAATTACATATAATAAGCAACACGACCATTTTTATGGGAATTGCATTTTTTCATTCGCGATAAAAATAAGAAATTGTATTCCGCTTTAGTTCCGCATTACCACTTTTATACGCTGCTATATTTAGCTGCAAATGGTGGCTATCGAGTCAGTGGCGTTGCCATTGGCGCACTTTGCAGAACGGAGTAAAAATACAAAACACAAGAAGATCAGGTTATTTTGCTCTTATTAAATGTTTGTCAATTAAACACATAGTTGCATGCCAGAGATATAATTCTCTATGGTGTTTATCCAAGTTCTGGTCGCTACAAACGTCGAGCCCAGTAAAACTTCTGGCTGTCCTCCCTCATCAAGCTGACACATCGTGTCAAACTGACATGCTGTTCACAGTTGAAAACAGATTACAACAAATAGTTCAGGTAGAGTGCAACACTCCCCACTCCATACCTATCGTTTTCAGAATCAAGGAAAGGTTGTGGAGAATAAGCTAAGCAGCTGGGATACGATGACATGCATCAACCAAGTCACCGAGCCTGACCACCCTATCCCGTTAGTCGCCTCTTACGACAAGCATGGGTTGCTGAAGACCAATTCTGACCCGGATCTTTACGGGTCATAAGCTCGTGTAAGAATAGATATAGGTTTAAACCCCTAGTAATAATGGGTTTAGTATTACAGATGACATCATATAACATCATGCAAGGTTTCTGATTTTAAGAAATGCATTAATGATGTTTTACGTGCTTACCTAGCAAAGTTCAAACAACAGAAGAGTCCACCACAGTTAAGTTCACGAATCAACTCTCCAGGGCCATTGCATGTGTCCCTTATCCTGGTAGCAAGCGGATAGACCTACGTGTCACGTGACATTGGTCGTATATTGCGTTACGTTATGTGTACAGTCAAGGAAGCTATTTAACGTATCATTATCGTGCCCAGACAAGCGTATCACTGACACGGAACAGACTGACAGTGTTATTTATAAGTGAATGGGTTAGATTTAACGCCGCTTTGAACAACATTTCAGTTATTTCTTTACGTGTATATTTATGAGGCATTGAATAATGCTGTGGTGTAACTTTTTTCGCGAACACCTGGTATCATTACTATTTGATAGTGATTCATAAACACATGCTTGTAACATATTCGGAATCGTAAAATCGGTTCTGCTTTTGGCAGTGGTTTCTTATGAAAATGGAAAGGGTTTCGTCGTTTTTATTTAGATGTAAGCACTCTTTGAGATTGACCTGCGCCAACAATAATGATAATAATCATCCTCATTATTATCATAGAAAATGAAAATAGACATTTGTATAGCACTTTATTATCCAAGTCAACGATTCAGTGTGCATTGGCTGTGTGCACTCAGCTCCATGAGGAGTATAAAACTACAGCTGTCTTTGCTCTAGTTTGCATTCACATTTCATCTCATCCTACCGGGTACCCGTTTGTTGTTGGTTTAACACGGGATGACGACACGTGCCAAGCAGAAAGTACCGTTTAACACAGGATGACGACACGTGCCAAGCAGAAAGTACCGTTTAACACAGGATGACGACACGTGCCAAGCAGAAAGTATCGTTAAACAACTTATTTTTAGTGATCTAGTTTACGTTGTCTAGGATGTGTAGCTCTATTTAGTTCACGTTGTCTAAGATGTGTAGCTCTATGGTATTTAGTTCACGTTGCCTAGGATGTGTAGCTCTAGGATATCTAGTTCACGTTGTCTAGGATGTGTAGCTCTATGGTATTTAGTTCACGTTGTCTAGGATGTGTGGGTCTAGGATATCTAGTTCACGTTGTCTAGGATATGTATCCCTATGTTATTTAGTTCACGTTGTCTAGGATATGTATCCCTATGTTATTTAGTTCACGTTGTCTAGGATGTGTAGGTCTAGGGTATCTAGTTGACGTTGTCTAGGATGTGTATCTATGGTATTTAGTTCACGTTGTCTAGGATGTGTAGCTCTAGGGTATTTAGTTCACGTTGTCTAGGATATGTAGCTCTAGGATATCTAGTTCACGTTGTCTAGGATGTGTAGCTCTATGGTATTTAGTTCACGTTGTCTAGGATGTGTGGGTCTAGGATATCTAATTCACGTTGTCTAGGATATGTAGCCCTATGGTATTTAGTTCACGTTGTCTAGGATGTGTAGGTCTAGGGTATCTAGTTGACGTTGTCTAGGATGTGTATCTATGGTATTTAGTTCACGTTGTCTAGGATGTGTATCTCTGTGTTATTTAGTTCACGTTGTCTAGGATATGTAGCTCTATGGTATTTAGTTCACGTTGCCTAGGATATGTAGCTCTATTTAGTTTACGTTGTCTAGGATGTGTAGCTCTATGGTATTTAGTTCACGTTGCCTAGGATGTATAGGTCTATGGTATTTAGTTCACGTAGTCTAGGGTGTGTAGCTCTATGGTATTTAGTTCCCGTTACTTAGGATGTGTAGCTCTATGGTATTTAGTTCACGTTGCCTAGGATATGTAGCTCTATTTAGTTTACGTTGTCTAGGATGTGTAGCTCTATGGTATTTAGTTCACGTTGCCTAGGATGTATAGGTCTATGGTATTTAGTTCACGTAATCTAAGGTGTGTAGCTCTATGGTATTTAGTTCACGTTACCTAGGATGTGTAGCTGTAGGGTATTTAGTTCAGGTTGTCTAGGATGTGTAGCTCTATGGTATTTAGTTCACGTTGTCTAGGATGTATAGGTCCAGGGTATTTAGTTCACGTAGTCTAGGATGTGTAGGTCTAGGGTATTTAGTTAACGTTGTCTAGGATGTGTAGCTCTATGGTATTTAGTTCACGTTGCCTAGGATGTGTAGTTCTATGGTATTTAGTTCACGTTGTCTAGGGTGTGTAGCTCTATGGTATTTAGTTCACGTTGTCTAGGATATGTAGCTCTATAGTATTTAGTTCACGTTGCCTAGGATATGTAGCTCTATTTAGTTTACGTTGTCTAGGATGTGTAGCTCTATGGTATTTAGTTCACGTTGTCTAGGATGTATAGATCTATGGTATTTAGTTCACGTAGTCTAGGATGTGTAGGTCTAGGGCATTTAGTTAACGTTGTCTAGGATATGTAGCCCTATGGTATTTAGTTCACGTTGTCTAGGATGTGTAGCTCTATGGTATTTAGTTCACGTTGCCTAGGATGTGTAGCTCTATGGTATTTAGTTCACGTTGTCTTGGATGTATAGATCTAGGGTATTTAGTTCACGTTGCCTAGGATGTGTAGCTCTATGGTATTTAGTTCACGTTGTCTAGGATATGTAGCTCTATGGTATTTAGTTCACGTTGTCTTGGATGTATAGGTCTAGGGTATTTAGTTCACGTTGCCTAGGATGTGTAGCTATATGGTATTTAGTTCACGTTGTCTAGGATATGTAGCTCTAGGGTATTTAGTTAACGTTGTCTAGGATGTGTATCTCTATGGTATTTAGTTCACGTTGTCTAGGATGTGTAGCTCTAGGGTATTAAGTTAACGTTGTCTAGGATATGTAGCCCTATGGTATTTAGTTCACGTTGTCTAGGATGTGTAGCTCTATGGTATTTAGTTCACGTTGCCTAGGATGTGTAGCTCTATGGTATTTAGTTCACGTTGTCTTGGATGTATAGGTCTAGGGTATTTAGTTCACGTTGCCTAGGATGTGTAGCTCTATGGTATTTAGTTCACGTTGTCTAGGATATGTAGCTCTATGGTATTTAGTTAACGTTGTCTAGGATATGTAGCTCTATTTAGTTTACGTTGTCTAGGATGTGTAGCTCTATGGTATTTAGTTCACGTTGCCTAGGATGTATAGGTCTATGGTATTTAGTTCACGTTGTCTAGGATGTGTAGGTCTATGGTATTTAGTTAACGTTGTCTAGGATGTGTATCTATGGTATTTAGTTCACGTTGTCTAGGATATGTAGCTCTATGGTATTTAGTTCACGTTGTCTAGGATGTGTAGCTCTATTAAGTTCACGTTGTCTAGAATGTGTAGCTCTATGGTATTTAGTTCACGTTGTCTAGGATATGTATCTATGGTATTTAGTTCACGTTGTCTACGATGTGTAGCTATAGGGTATTTAGTTCACGTTGTCTAGGATGTGTAGATATAGGGTATTTAATTCAGGTTGTCTAGGATTTGTAGCTATAGGGTATTTAGTTCGCGTTGTCTAGGATGTGTAGGTCTAGGGTATTTAGTTCACGTTGTCTAGGATGTGTAGGTTTAGGGGATCTAGTTCACGTTATCTAGGATGTGTGGGTCTACGGTATTTAGTTCACGTTGTCTAGAATGTGTAGTTCTACGGTATTTAGTTCACGTTGTCTTGGATGTGTAGCTATAGGGGTTTTAGATCACGTTGTCTAGGATGTGTAGTTCTACGGTATTTAGTTCATGTTGTCTAGGATGTGTTGTTCTAGGGTATTTAGTTCACGTTGTCTAGGATGTGTAGGTCTAGGTTATTTAGTTCACGTTGTCTAGGATGTGTAGCTATAGGGTATTTAGTTCACATTGTCTTGGATGTGTAGGTCTCGCATATCTAGTTCAAGTTGTGCCAAAACAATTTCAATTTGCTGTGAGCTAAGACAGGTTTGACTGAGACTGATAACAAGTGTAGAATCCCAAAAGTGTTTGACGTCTGAGACTTCGGGCTTTGCCCCATCATTAACAGACACGCAGCAATATACCTTATAAAGTGTACGGATTGGAGTAATAGTTTCGTTAACCGTAACATGGGTGCTTTTGATGTTGAAACATATGATAACAATAATCGGTTAAGGCTTTAAACTCTCTGAAGAACCACGTGTGAGCCATACTCGTGTACATAAAAGCGACTATGTCCTTTCCAGAATCATAAAAAAAAATCTCGGTTGTACCATTACCACAATATCAAAAGCATGTGTTTATGGATAACTATCAAATAGTAATGATACCAGGTGTTCACGAAAAGGTGAGCGTGGCACCCGGTGGCACCCGTCACAAACACATGCAAAGGCAAGACAAGTGTTCAACTGAATTAACATCGGAATGTATGGTCTAATTCCATTAGATATGTGTTTTGTCGCTGATGCGTTAAGTTTGGAAATGTTCTCCACGTATCCACCATAAAAATAATTGAAAGCTTTACAAAGGCTTTGCATGTTTAAACACTGGTCACACAGGTTTGGGGCAAGATTCCTGTGACGCTCTTTAAAATCTTCGTCAGCAAGATCTCGCATAACCGTTTATACTTAACTGAAAATGTACCCACATAGGTCAGTGCGTCCTTATATCTATACCGATTCCGTGTTTGATATAATCAATTATTTAAAAAAACCTTTAGTTAACTATAAACTGCAGCTAATATTTCACGTTGTGAAATAGGGTTAAATGTCATTTCTGACACATGATCTATGTCAAATCACTGCTCACATGCCAGATACATGTTTCACTTTATTGACCAGCACTGTGATAAACAGTGTCACAAATAAGTCATAAGTCAGTGTAATTGCTCAAATCGACATCCTATCACCACATAACGTCACGGGGTAGAACTACATCATGTCAACGGTGACTGGGGATTAATCTTTATTGACCCGCGTCGATAAGGCTTTGTATATATTTGGTGCTCGAGACTGTCTCGAGAACTCGAGGAAGAAGAGGATGAGGCTGAGGATGAAGGGGACGCTGCTGTTGCTGGAGCACATCCTGCTCTTGTGTCTGTGTGAAGCTACACGTGAGTTGCAGTCACATACTTGTTGAGTGAGTGAGTGAGTTGGGTTCTATGCCCCTTTTAACAATAGTCTAACAACTTGAGACTTGTTTCCTGCTCGGGTTGATAGTTGTTAGTGAAGATGCAATTACTTACTCGATATTCATAACATCAAGTAATAGTGATTTAAAGCATCAGGTGGAAATCATACCTTCAAGATTAGCGATTGAGTAGGATGTAAGGACATTTTTTTAAATAAAAAAACCCGAAGCCAGGACCACGCGTGGGTCCTGCGTCCATCCCAGTTCTTCGCCCTTTTCCCCACAGCCGACTAAAGTGAGAGGCTGGTTCTTCATCCACAACCGGCTTCACTGCCACTGAAGCTGCTTAGCTATACCTTTTAGACTCAAGACAATTGTTGTTACCGTTCACAAACTGAAAAAAGTTGGAAGTGATTTTTGGAATCTCATCGTCGTATTGAAATAAAATATATCAACACTAGTCGATAGGAGATTAAAACTCCTTAACATGCCTCGAAAGTTTAACTGTTATCGATGAAAGTTGATTTACCACTGCCAAAAATAAGGGAGCTGATGAAATGATAGTGAAGGTGTAATGATGATAAATGACTGTAATTCTAATTTCGGGAGTGTAGATCAATATCTGGTGTGTCCACCATGTTGGGCGGTACGTGCACGACACCTTGATGGTATACAGTTCATTAAGTTGCGTATGGTTTTACCTTGGTATTGCCCACCATTCCGCCTCAAGACTTTCCCCTGGGTCACGTTGGCGGGTGCTAGGTCTCTGGCTTCTCTCCCCCAGAGACCATGCAGGGGACTGAGGGGGCCAGTCGGCCAGTCCAATGTCCATATGCTTTCTCGTTGGAGATAATCGATGATGACCTTGGCACGATGAGGTCTACCATTGTCATCTTACAGTTTAAAATTGACGCCGTCAATTCTAGCGAATGAACCAACAACTGGACGCAAATTTTCGTCAACATATCGCTGGCCAGTCAAATATCCATGCACAATTACCAAATCAGTTTGCCTTTCATGTGTGATACCGCCTCAGACCATTACACTATAATGGTTAAGAATTGTTGCCCTGGCATACCGAACGCCGCTACGTCGCCAACGACGTTTTCTGCCATCGGCGAATCGATTTCAAAATTTGATTCGTCTGCAGACATGGTGTACCCCATTGGCGCACAGCCCATCCCTGGTGTTGCCTCGTCCACCCCACTCCGCCTATGGTGAGCTGTAAGGACAGGACACCTTGCTTTTTTTGGCGGAATGCATAGAGCAAACCCGAACCTTTGCCGCATATGGTAAGTTGTTAGGGTTACACCCTTCACAGGACGCAGAGTTTGCTTTCAGGTGGGCTGCATAAAGCCGGGCTTCCTGATGTTGAAAATCCTTTCCTGTTATTGTAGGAATTCTCAATGGATAACAGAAGCAGTTCTGAATATATTACGTAGTGCAATTAATGTATTGGGACGATCTTGTCAAATCGTCTTTTTTGTAGGCCTGCCACGCCCGGGCCTCATTGCAACCCCACCCTTTGGCGGTACTTGTCCCACAGTCGAGAAATTACACTTTGCCAAACATTCTGGCAGCTTGCAATATTGACTTCCCACCTCTATCGGTACCTCAATTCGACAAATTGTCTGTTCACTGAGATACTGTCTCGGATGCATTTTAAGCGTGTATTCATGGTGATTCTAAGTTCAACCTAGATAGGCGCACACACTTTGGCTTCTGTGTGCACGTGCCTGATGTGGGATGTCATTGTGATTAGTTGTTGCGTTCAGATGCAGAACCACGGGGTTGAAAATGAACACCTCAACGATAGCAACATACACATAATTAGTTCCCTGATTTTTTGGTACCACACAACCAGTACACAAAGAAAGCAGAGAAGTGTGTGTGTGTGTGTGTGTGTGTGTGTGTGTGTGTGTGTGTGTGTGTGTGTGTGTCTCTCTCTCTCTCTTTCTGTGGCCGTGTCTGTGTATGCGTGCGTCTGTCTGTGCATACAGTATTGCAAAGATACTGTTTTCATCGCATTCAGGTCCTGGTGAACGCATCGGTCAGAGTCTAAAGAAACAGCTTAAACAGGTCGTAAAGCAGCAGGCCGGACAAGGACAGGGTCAAGGTCAAGGTCAAGGTCATCTCCAAAGACCGACACGGCCAGGTCAAGGACAATGTGGGCATAACAAGTGTATTAACTTCCCTGGGTTAGTGTGTGACAGAGGCAACGGCAAATGTAATTGTCCCGGGGGCAAAGTCGGAGATGGGCGGGTACAGTGTGCTGATCCAGGTAAATATCAGCTTTGATAGCCACTAATATGGATATATTTATCATGTTATGTGGCGTCATTGGCGTCACGTTTCTTGTCTGTGACGTCATCATATATTATATGCATTGACGTTGCTATTTGTAAATTATACCTAAATGGATAGAATTATAATACAAATGTCCACATGTTATCAGAAATCGGTGGGCCACTGGAACGTGTTAGCAGCCTGCATTCCCTAAAGACGGTCTGCTGTCTGTTCTGTTGTTATGTGACGTCACTGGCGTCATGTTTCTTGTCTGTGACGTCATCATATATTTATGTTCTATGACGTTGCTATTTGCGCCCCGCATGGTTTATTCTCCCTGCAGTGTTTTATTTATAGATTGACTGTGTACTTTTTTCGGTTCATTGGAGTATGAATCGAAAAAACGATGTGCAAACTTTTGTAAAGTTTTTCGATTCATACGATTCATACGAAAGTATGTTATGTTTGTTATGTTCCGTATATTCTCACAATCCTCACGTTGATTATCTGTACCTACGCTCCCAATTCCGATTGTCATTGACATCTCTCCCACTTTAAGATGCTATCGTTCGGCCATAGCGTTTATTTACGAACAACCCATTGATGGGAAGCAACTCACTTGACACTTCCCCCCTCAAAATATATTCGTCTAATTCATCATGAAGTTGCGAGCTCATGTTCCAATCTTCAGAGACCGCCTCCGTGGTCTAGTGGTAGAGCGTCCGTTTGGAGAGCGGAAGGTCCGGGGTTCGATCCCCGGCCGCGTCATACCAAAAGACGTTAAAAGATGGTACTTGTTGTTATCCTGTCTGGCGCTCGGCATTAAGAGGCTAAAACAAGGACTGGTCGGCTCGGAGTCAGTATACTGTGTCTGAGAGGATATTCATGTTAAACTGTGGCATGGTATCTCAGTGAGCTAGCACTATAAATCGGCATCAGTCCGGACTAGTACAAACAGCCACACAAACACACACACGTGCATGCACGTCGCTATAAAAGTGCAATAATCTTGGACGCGACGTTAAACCCGATTTCACCTCACCTCACCTCGAATCTCCAGATATGACACCATGATGGAACAATGTTTTATCGTGAAATAAACCAGGCTTCGTTCTTTATTGTTCTTTGGATTTATTGCGTAGCTATCTTATATTTGTAAATTAATGACCTCCGTTATAAGCTAAATACTACAACCAAACTGTTTGTTGTCATACTCATTCTGGGATTAGCAACACACTTTTTTCATTTTAGCTATAATAACGGTAAGGTTATTTTGCAGGGGATTATCATTAATTTTGCAAAAGCCCTCGGTCTGTTCAACCATAGACCTCGGGCTTCTACAAATGATTATGCCCTGAAAAATAACGTAAACCCATATATCAATTATCTCCATTGTGAGATTCTTATACAGCCACGACACTTATGCATGTTTTTCTTGTCTTAATCATATAGGGAACACACCCGAGTGTCTTTTGATATCAAATATATCAACACGAGTTGATAAAAGTGGGAAATTCCGAGGCTTGCTGAGAGCAATAATCTTGAACGGGTCGTTAAACCCCAATTCACCAGTACAACATATTTGTATCTCAGCGAATGCAGGCGTAAGCCAGATCGGACATTGTACAATATTTTTGTTCTCTCGCTATGCTTTCTTTTCCATTTATGAGTAAGATTGTGTTTTTTAACAGCCCGTGCATGTCTCTGCACGATGTATGGCGACCCCCACGTCGTCAACTTCAAAGGCCAAAAGTTTACACTTCCGCTTCCGTGTAACCACGTGCTGGCTGATTTGGCCACGCCCCCTGCCAGGCCTAATAAGGGATGCCGAGTGTTCATCACTGGTCGGGCAAAGTACTTCGGAAGGCAAAATAATTCAGAGATTTCCTATGAAAATCAAGTGGAAATATATGTGACGACCCCGTCTGCAATTTTCACGACGTTAATCAACGAAAAAGGTTTCAACGTGAGTATAACCTACAGTCGTTCATGGCGGATACGTTTGCCCTCTTTATTGAAAGAATAATTCAATTTAAAAAGTCGCTTTCCTCACAAGTTTGAATCCCACCTTCAAGTTAGGAGATAACTAGGAGTGGAACTACATGTTGGTTTCTTATGGTGGCCGAGAGGGGACATCGCTTTCTCGCTCTATCGCTTTCTCGCTCTATCGCTTTCTCGCTCTATCGCTTTCTCGCACTATCGCTATCTCCCGGTATAGCAATATTTCCTCTTGGCCACTATTTGGGTTTCTTTACGATAGAAAGTATATACGCAAAACAACATAAATGAATTTTTAAACCTGACCTCAGTCGGGGGAGGGGTTTTAATCATAAAAGAGAGCTGAGATTTTTCAAGTCACATTACAAATTATACATATGCACAGAATGTTGAAATGTTCTCACTTTCTACTTAGACATAATTTAACAGTACAGATATGGGTGCTTTTATAACAATCCACATATTTCTGCGTAAAAAGAATTTGATTGATTTATGGCCCTATTTAGGAGTTTTATTGGATCCCCCGCCCCTAGGCCAAGTTATCAAAACAAATAGCAAATAACACCGCTCATTAGCGCTGAGTAGTACTACTTCCTAAAAAAACAATATTTCCCCCCTAAAAACCACGTTTATATCAATGTGTATTCTGTTTGCGGAGTAGATGTCACGTAGTGGAAGTCCTCACCCAAGCAATGGTAATACTACCGGGTGTCCAAATGTAATTTCTAGTTTTGGGATGACATATTGTTCTCAGTAACCGTAATGTGGAAACAGATAGTTAATTGGTTTTATATTCAAGTTGGGATTTCCGCTATTCAAAGTGTGCAGTGAGGCCGTCTTATCAACAGTCATTTCCGAGACATAAATGCAAAGTATAATTAATTAAGTCTACTCTCATTTTTTGCAGTTATAATTAACTCTAACGTTAATATTCAAGATTTACAGTACATACTATTCATAAGAAGTTAAAGAACACCCGATTCTTTCATATGACTATGGTTAATCATTAGAGAAATGCGATAGAGCGAGAAAGCGATAGAGCGAGAAAGCGAGAAAGCGATAGCGCGAGAAAGCGAGAAAGCGATAGAGTGAGAAAGCGATAGAGCGAGAAAGCGATAGAGCGAGAAAGCGATAAAGCATAGAGCGAGAAAGCGATAGAGCGATAGAGCGAGAAAGCGAGAAAGCGACATTTCCCATAATGCCGTACATTAAAACGTTTTTTGCTAAAATTTAGTGATCCATTCCTGTAATTCTCACCACTATTTTGCCTCTTATGATTAGATTTTTTAAACATCTTGTAGTAGATGAATATGTTACAAATGCACACATATTTTTCTCTCGTTTGGCTTGTATATTTTCTTGTAGTGTAGTAAATACGCAAGATTCACAGAATACAGATAGTCAATGTTCATATTTTAATTTTGTACATAATAACCCTCCCCTCCCACCTACCTCCATCAATCTTAAAGCTTATAAAAAAAGAGATCATATATTGACAAATAATTTTCAGTTTTATCAGCTACTGTTTGTACTGTTTGCAACGTCCAAAGAATTATTTTTTTCGGTCATTAGATTTGGAATTGAAGCCGAATATGTGCTCGTCCGATTTCGGGATCACAATTATGTTGCATGTTCATAATGCAAACAAAAGTTATACATGTACACAGTTATGTTTCCCTCACAAAATACAGATGGATTAGATATATATTTTTTAAGAACAACTCGTTTCTTATAATTACTTTCGATCAAACTGTCTTCGGGAATTAAATTTAATGCTATTGTGCTTGTAAAATAAAGTTTAACTTTCCCGCCAGGAGAGACTATTATAGAATAGGCTCAGACAGGAATATATATATATTCATGTAACAATTTTCTATCCATTTAAACAGTATGGTTAACAACTGTGCGTTCTGATGTGAGTTATGTAGTTATCCACTACATTTTTAAACAGACAATGAGTCGGACACACACACAAACACACACACATACATACCTAATTTTGACAAAACTATACTTAAGATATACATAAAATATTACAATGATAGCTGATTTAATATATGTTATAGATAATCATAGTAATGCATTTCATATTGTTATCAACTTTAGCTATGTGGCCACACTTATTATTATGTCTCTCAATATGTGTAGTTTACAAAAGTACACATATCAACTGTGTAACGCAGCAGCGACGGGGGCAGTGGGGTAGCCAAGTGGTTAAAGCGTTCGCTCGTCAAGCCGAAGACCCATTTCGATTCCCCACATGGGTACAATGTGTGAAGCCCATTTCTGGTGTTCCCCGTGATATTACTGGATTATTGTTAAAAGCGACGTGAAACCATTCTCACTCACTCACTCACAGCGGTGTTTATCAAATTACTATATGCAAGTTCATATATTTGTAGATTTGCACAAAACAAGAAACACAATTCAAGTTAAACATACATCAAATGTCAAAAAGAATATTTACGGATAACAGTATGACACACTGTAACATCATATACTACCGAAAACAAGTTATAGAACACCCAAAATTATAAGATTGTATTTTTGCAAAACAATCAGCCATGACTAATGAACCATAGTCTTCTTAACTTCTTTTGAAAAGTATATATTTAGATTTTAACCTGAATTATTTAGAGCGTATTGCAATGATCTGCCACATTCATACAACTGAAATGGGCCATAAGTCAATCAATTACATTTTACGCAAAAATCTGTGGATTGTTTTAAAATTAACTACGTCTGTATAGTTAAATTATGTTTTAAGTAAATAGTGAGAAAAGTTCAACATTCCCTCCCAATTGGAGCAGATATCACATGCGGCCCCTATAGAGGTCTAGAGCGGATATTGCTTAACCGCGAGAAAGCGAGATAGCGAGAAAGCGAGAAAGCGATAGAGCGATAAAGCGAGAAAGCGATAGAGCGAGAAAGCGAGAAAGCGATAGAGCGAGAAAGCGATAGAGCGAGAAAGCGATGTCCCCTCTCGGCCACCATAGTTTCTAGCTATATTGACCATGGAACCGAACATGCAACGCCAACAACATTAATATATGTGGCCACAACACAATGTGATTTAGATTTTATAATGCACGTAAATTTATTTTTTAATTCGAAACTTTTCAAACATTTTAAATTCTTTGTAAATTCTTTTCTCAGAAACTACACACCTAGAGAGTTTAAACTTAAATATATAATTTAAAGTTATTTAAACTTTATGAAGATGTGTAGGACCATAACATTACTCACAGGAAAGTGACTTTTCACAATATGTTTCTTATTAACAAATTAAAATATCTTTAAATTGTGAAAACTCAACTTCCATGGAAGGCCTGACTCTACCATCAAGTCAATATCATAAATAAATCGTTACTTAAGCCATCAAATCAAGGCTACATGTAAATGTAACAGCACTTACATGTATATTTGGAACCAAACGCATAGCGTTTCAAACATTGACGCACAATGTCACTCAGATTTGTTCACGTGTGTAAAATATATATTAAAAATCAGCAAAATGTCAACCTTTAATAATCCTTTTTTGAGAAAACACAAAACCTCGAGAGCTGAAACTTTATTACGATGTGTAGGGCTTCATTGTGACTTTTCTCATAACATGAAAATTTAAATTCTTAAAAAAAATCAGTTGCGAAAAGATACTTCGCTGTAAGGTCTGATACTTACCATCAAGTCATTTGTTTTTTTACCCGGGTTCGATCCTCGGCGTCATACCAATAGACGTTAAATGATGGTACTTGTTGTTACCCTGTCTCGCGATTGGCATTGAGGGGCTAAAACAAGGACTGGTCAGTTCGGTATACTGTGTCTGAGACAGTTGCGTCCTCTAGGCATGCTGACTATATGTTTCAGGGGTTTCCTGAGCACCATACACGTGCTCGTGGGTTCCCCAAACTGGTAAACGTCCAAGATCTGCATGACGTCCGTCTGTTCTCAAACACTAAGCTGATATGACTTAAATACTGTTCAAAGCAGCTTTAATCCCATCTTCCCGAGGCAAGTGAGTTAACTGACTATAAAAGTCCAGTTTCCACCCTTGCCGAACTAGGCTGGTATTATGGAGTTGCATTTTGGCTGGACTAACGAGTCTATGCATAGTCCAATCAAAATCGCACACCGAAATCGAAATCCGGTTCGTAAAGTGTCATGCAGATTTTGGTCGACTGCAGGATTTGCAAAGCATGTGCACCGCTAACTCGTTGTCAACAGATATTTTCTATATCTTTTCATGTTTTTAATCAAGCTGCTCACCTGATTTAATGCACTTCGCGATGTAAGACTCGTTTTATCACAATATAGATCTTGATTATCGACCAGATCGTCTTGACTGGGCGCCACCGTTTTGTTTGAAGCAAATGCAAGTGATACGAGGGGTTGAATCTGATTGGTCAATAGGAGAGGCATAGAAAGGACATAACTCGTAATAGCCACTGGTGGCGCTACGATCGAGCCCAGGAATTCCAGCCTAGTTCGGCCAGGGTGGAAACTGGACTTTTAAAGTCAGTTAACTCTCTTGCCTCGGGAAGATGCTTTAAACCAAACTCAATAACTCACAAATGGTTACAGAATCCACATTTGATTCGCCTGAGCAAAGGTGTCAAGGGAAGTGACGAGGACAAGGGAAGTGATGAGGGAGGTAGCAGCGAGGTAGACAACAAGGGCGGCAGAAAACAGGGTAAGTAAGGTTTGTTTGTTGTTTAACTCCGTATTCAGCAATATAGCAATTCTATGACAGCGGTCTGTAAATAATCGAGTCTGAACCAGACAATCCAGTGATTGATATTGTAGACAACGATCTATGCCGTCCATCCGGCCATTTGGTTTGTTTTGTTTGTTAGTTGTTTAACGCCGCACTCAGCAATATTCCAGCTATGAAGGCGGTCTGTAAATAAATCAAGTCTGGACCAGACAATCCAGTGATTGATATCATGAGCATCGACCTACGCAATTGGGATCGATGACATATATCAACCAAGTCAGCGGGCCTGACAACCCGACCCCGTTAGTCGCCTCGAACGACAAGCATAGTCGCCTTTTACGGCAAGCAAGGGTTGCTGAAGACCTATTCTACCCCGGATCTTCACGGGTCCCGACCATTTGGTCGCATCTTATAATTATGACCAGCATAGGTTGCAGGGGACCTACTTTAGCCGGGAATCATCACGGGGCAGCAAGGGGTATAAACTGGCCAAGACTAATAATTAATGATATACATTGTCATTTCCACACAACGGACAGATGGACATTTAATAATGATCATATTTATCTGAATAGATTCTACATGTTCTATAAACTGAAATAATCCATCGGCTAAACTCACTTCTATACGTCTTCACGGCCATCTTTTGGAGGGATCCGTTCGTTAAATGGATCACTGGTTAGCTCCCCTGACTGAAAGTCAAGGCAACTTACGCCATGTCCTGCTTGCATCGTCTGAAACCACTGGACCAATGAAGCAAAAACTACACATCCTTGTTTCAACCTATTATGCCATCTGAAGTTGTTCAAGAGCTTTGATTCGATTTTCAATATGGCCACCACGTCAACCATATTGAAACAAAGAGTTATGGTTCCTGCTCAGCCATTTCCCCACAGAATGTACTGTAATGTTCTTTAGTTCTCTCACTATGCACTTTTGGCAAACATCTTTTCTGTTAAAAATGCAAGAGCTAATCTTTAGCATGGGTGTATTTCGTATGATGACATATTTTGTTTAAGTCATTAGGATTGAAGTGTTTTTGCACCTTCTCGAGGCAAGGGAGGTAACTGACTGTAAAAGTCCAGTTTCCACTATTGCCGAACGAGGCTGGAATTTCAGGGCTATTCAGGGCCACCGGTGGCTATTACGAGTTATGTCCCAGCCACGTCCCTGCTATGTCCCTCCTACTGACCAATCGGATTCCACCTCTCATATCACCTGTTTTTGCTTTAAACAAAATGGTGGCGCCCAGTCAAGGCGATCGGATCGATAATCAAAATATATATTGTGATAAAACGGGTCCTACTTCGCGAAATGACGAAACTCACGTGAGCACCTTTATTTAAAACATGAAAAGATTTGCGAAATATCTGTTGACGCCCAGTTGGCGGTACAAATGCTTTGCAAATTTTGCAATCGACCGAAATCTGCACGGATGTCGATTTCGTTACGCAATTTTGATTATACTTTGCATAAGACTCGTTAGTACAGCCAAAATATAATTCAATCCTTGTTCGGCAAGGATGGTAAATGGATTTATATAGTCAGTTAACTCCCGTGCCCCGGGAAGATGGTGATTTTGTTAAATAGTCGGAAAAACTTGTATGGCTTTCGAAAAAAATATAATCTTCTTGGAAGGTATATAAGGACCAGAGTTTGAACTTTGTGTAAAGTCAATATAACTGTTGCGTGTTGCATTAATGTTGTAAAATAGTACATTCATTCTTTATTTATTCCAAGAACATTTGAATAGCAACGTTTGTTAAGTGGCTTTCTTCGTTGGCAGCTTGTCGTAAAAGGCAACAGCCGGTTTGGGTGGTCAGGCACGGTGACTTGATTGACGCGTATCATCGTATCCCAATTGCGTGGATCGTTGCTCATGATGTCAATCACTGGCTTGTCTGACCCCCCACCCCCCACCCCGGGCTGGCTACGGCACTGACCTCTCTTTAAGCCACTCGAAACAAGAACAGCGATCTGATTGGATCACAAGGGACACAACTCCCGAGTTCTACATGGGATTGCGCCACGATCGAGCCTTGTAAAGGCGACTTGAAATGGCACAGGTGGAAACTAGGATTTGATTTTGCCTTGTGGACATGTCGCCTCGGGAAGATGGGCATAGTTGCCAAGTTGAACAGTTGCTATAATTTCAGACGTTTTGGCAACTCCCCCTACCCCTTCCCCCTTCTCCTCCTAATTTTATACGTCCGTTCATGTCGTTTGTACGCGCATCAACATCACCTATTTCTCTTAAGGAGTCGATCAATTTTGATGCCAGTGATGATATGAGATAAATGTTTTTTTGACAAAATAAGACAAATAATAGTTTTTCACCGTTGGTTTTAGTAACATACAATCAATATTCTGGACTGCTTTCATTAAAGCTATACAACAGTACAAGACAGGCAGGAGGCGGCGTCGCGGGGCGTATGGTCTTCGTGTCAACACCCAGACTGACGAGGATGGATTTCACCAAGTCACTATCCCCTCCTGCCAACTGAATGTTAAATACAGGGCCCACGACGGGGCGTTCTCTCTCCAGACCCCCCTCAGGTGAGGTCCACATGTGCTTCATCTGTTGAACATTTTCTTTATTATTTTGTGAAATAAATTTCAGCATCTTTATTACATGATGATTCCGGGCGGTCGGGTAACCTAGTGGTTAAAGCGTTCGATCACTACGCCGAAGACCCGGGTTCGAATCCCTAAACGGGTACAATGTGTGCAGCCTATTTCTGGTGTCCCCGGCCGTGATATTACTGGAATATTGCTAAAAGCGGCGTAAAACCATACTCACTCACTCATCATGATTCCGTGATTTCACAACCCTGTACAATACCACATTGACAGGCGTATCAGGGGATTTTGTTTCCATGTAAATAAAATATTACTATTTATTAATTGACATAAAGAACAGTTTTTACTTTGGTGCCATGGGAAATACTTCAGTAATTTGTAGCGTAATAACAAGTCTTTTTCGGAAAATATGTAAATGACTTTATATTTGTATATAATAAATTTAGCTATCCAGACCCCCCTCAGGTAAGGTCCACATGTCATCTGTTGAACATTTTCTTTATTATATTGTACAATAAATTTCAGCATCTTTATTACATCCCGATTCCATGGACAGGCGGATCAGGGGATTTTGTTTCCATGTTAATAAAATAATACTTTTTATTAATTGACATCAAGGACAGTTTTAGTTTGGATGAAATACTAAATACTTTGTAGCGTAATAACAAATCTTTTTTCGGAAAATATGGAAATGACTTTACATCTGCATATGACCCGTGAAGATCCGGGATAGAATAGGTCTTCAGCAACCCATGCTTGTCGTAAAAGGTGACTATACTTGTCGTAAGAGGCGACAAACGGGATCGGGTGGTCAGACTCGCTGACTTGGTTGATGCATGTCATCGTATCCAATTGCATGGATTGATGCTCATGATTTCATTCATTGGATTGTCTGGTCCAGACTCGATTATTTACAGACCGCCGTCATATAGCTGGAATATTGCTGAGTGCGGCGTTAAACAAACAAACAAACAAAACATCTGCATATAATAAATTTAGCTAACAAAAAGTAATTCAAACCTTCAGAATAATTGATTTATGTAAGTTTTCTTCATTACAGAAATCGTAATTTGACCGTTTGCAAGGGTCTCTTGAAATTGGTTTCAGATTATGACTAGTTCAAGACCGAGAATGAGAATTTGCTTTTGTCGTAGGACCGACATGGAGCAAGTGATCACATATATAAATTAAGTCACTCTCAACAGCCATATTGTCCACCCAATGTACAATTTATTGCGATATCCAATGTCCCGAATAGCAACGGGGAATGGGGCGATGCTGTACACATGTTTTTTTGTTGTGCCAGGATCCGCTTTCATAGGTCCGATTCTATGATTTGCTCCACTTATGATCCTTGGTCTGTCATAACCTTCCCGTGCACCTCATCTGTGACCTTCTTCGTGACGTAATTTCCTCCTGTTTTGAACAGTTTTCCAGTTATAGCACCGCGTTTCAGATGGTTGTATGAGGAGGGGGAACGGGTGGCCCAGTCGTCTGAGGCGCTGCAATTCGCTGTGCAGAGTTGCGTCCCTTGGGCACGCCAGAAACCTATGATTGTAATGCCGCTGTGCGCAAAAAATCTGTGATTGTGGTTTGAATCCCGGTTATGTTTCTAGGTTTATCAGCACCAAACTCGTGCTCGTGGGTTTCACCGAAGTGGTTAGCGTCTGATACCTGCATCACTTCAGGCTTTCCTCCCACATTAAGCTGACACGCCGCGATATAACTGGAATACTGTTAGAAGCGGCGTTAAACCCAACTCACTCACTCATTCATTCACTGATGTGGGAGGAAAGCCCGAAGTGATGTAGGTCTTTGGCGTTTACGACTTTGGTGTGTGTCTGCATGTGTTTGTGTATACATGCGCGTGTGTGCGTGTGTACCTATGGAAGTGTCTGCGTATGTGTGTCTGTGTGTGTATACCTATGGATGTGTCTGTGTGTTGGTTGTTTGGTTTGTTTGCTGTTTAACGCCGCACTCAGGAATATTCAAGCTATATGAAGGCGATCTGTAAATGATCAAGTCTGGACCAGACAATCCAGTGATGGACATCATGAGCATCGATCCACGCAATTAGGATCGATGACATGCATCAACCAAGTCAGCGAGCCTGACCACCCGATCCCGTTATTCGCCTCTGCCGAATGTGTGCGCGTGTGTGTGCGTGTATATTTATGTGCCTGTGCGTGTGCGTGTGCGTGAACAGCTCAACACGTTTACCCCACTCAGACACAGTATACTGACTCTGAGGATGGAGAGTAAGTAGGTCATGTGACTGGTTCTATCTGTGTCTGCAGGTCAATTGAAAGGCGGGGTCTATGTGGATGGTGTGGCGGCAAATCAGACCGAGGCAGCTCCTTGTTGACCCGACAGCAAACACTTGAAGTGGTTCTAGCTTCACTGTACGCCGTCAGCCCCATCGACCACACGGACGCCAACATATACCCGTAAGTATTGTGTTTGAAACTAGGACCCAACACAGCAGCATTCGTCACCACCCGCCCCTTTCCGTGACCTGTAAGAGGACTCGTCCCCCTATCCATGAATATCATGTGCGAAAATACGACAAACCAATCCGAATGCCTTCAAGTGCTTCGGTCAAAGAATCCCCCAGGACTATTTTTTTAATTTTATACATGTCTTCCACCAAAAAATGTATTGCATCTGTATAAATACCGTAATTCCCGATGTATTTAAATAACATCTGGAATATATATGACATGGGGGAAAATATACGTGAATCATTACGCAACTTCTTTTAACTATGGCCGTTTGCGCTAAGATGGAACCCGGTCGCAAAAATGGCCACGAGAAGGGCATGGGTCGCTATTCGGCTTGTCCCGGACAAACACGAGTTGGTCACGAATGACACAGCAGAAGGACTTTATGTCTTTACCAGCACGGACCTATCATGCGTATTTTCATTTCCGAAACTACTGTAGATGCTGGAAACCTGATGTGACCTGATGTGACCTGATGTGACCACTGTAGGCTAAAGTCACAACAATACATTCGTTAGCTACATCCATAATGTGGCCCGCTCTCAGTTATGATATGGAGAATATCGATATGATATACATGAATATATTTGATTGCATTGAAGACTATTGTGATGCTATCTACATCATTATGTACGGTGGTCGATGAAAGATGGACAACTGCTGTCTTGGCACAGCTTGCATCTGTGCCACAGTTGAGGTCAACGCTCGTCCCTTTCCATGACCTGCAAGAAGACACGCCCCCCTGTCATGTGCGAAAATACGACAAACCAATCAGAATGCGCGTATGACTTGAAGTACTTCGGTCAAAGAAACCCTCCGGAATCATTTTTGATTTTACATTTGTCTTGCATATAATATACCCAAGATACATTTAAATGTCTTCAACATATAAATACATATGATGTATGGAGGAAATATACCTGCATCATTACACAACGAGTTGACAATTCTTGTAGCTATGCCCGTTTGCGCTTAGACGAAACCCAGTCGCAAAAAATGGCTACGATTTGGGCACAAGTCGCGATTCGGTTTGTCCCGGAATAACACGAGTTGGTCACGAATGCATCAATGTTGTGTGCGAAAACACGACAAACCAATCAGAATGCCCGTGGGACTATTAGTAGTTTGGTCAAAGAATCTCTACTTAATATTCTTTTATTTTAAGTATAGTTTGCCTTTAAAATATACCAGGGACTGCCTCCGTGGTCTAGTGGTAGAGCGTCCGCCCGGAGAGCGGAATGTCCGTGGTTCGATCCCCGGCCGCGGCATACCAAGAGACGTTAAAAGATGGCACTTGTAGTTACCCTGTCTGGCGCTCGGCATTAAGGGCTAAAACAAGGACTGATCGGCTCTTAGTCAGTATAGTGTGTCTGAGTGGGGTATTCATGTCAAACTGCGGCATGGTATCTCAGTGAGCTAGCACTATAAATCAGCATCAGTCCAGACTAGTACAAGCAGACACTCGCACACACACACACACACACACAATCATAGGTTTCGGGCGTGCCCAAGGGACGCAACTCTGCACAGCGAATCGCGGCGCATTAGACGACTGGGCCACCCGTGCCCCCTTATATAAGAGAGATATGTTTGTTATAGGTGCATATAAATACGCGCCGCTATAAATGATTGGCTTTGGAATTGTATACTTCATCTGTATAAAAGAAATCTTCACATGTTCCATTTCCAGATCATGTACAGCACTGACTGACACCTTCGCCTCTTGTCCACTCCAAAGACGACCACTTGCAACATCATTCTGTGGTCAAATGCTCACCAACTCGGATGTCAATCGCTGTCTGGCGGGAAAGGAGGGGAAAGAGCACGTGCAAGACGTGTTTGCCAAGTGCTACAAGCTCGTCTGCACGAAACACACAAAATGTGCGACCTACCTGGCGTTTTTCAGAGACTGTCTTTCTGAAACCCAGGCGACCGATCTCGTCAAAGACAAGCTATTCTGTAATTGAATGGATCGAATTTCATAAACGAGTTGCAGAAATTTGTCTTGAACCGTTATCCACACTGTATGGATCACGCATCTGTAAATCTGGTACTTTGCTATAGAATTGTCGTTCTCTGTAAAACTTTCAAGGTATTTTCTCTGTACTAAATATTAAGTTGACTATTGTCTGTTGTATAATATTGGAAAATTAAACTCATCTTCAAAGGTTTTAAAATGGACTGTTATTTCTCAATCTTATAAATGATCGGGTGGCCCAGTCGTCTAAGGCGCCGCGATTCGCTGTGCAGAGTTGCGTCCCTGGGCACGCCAGAAACCTATGATTGTGGGTTCCAATCCCGGTTCGCCCCGATTATGTTTCTAGGTTTGTCAGCACCATACCCGTGCTCGTGGGTTTCACCGAAGTGGTAAACGTCTGCGACCTGCATCACTTCGGGCTTTCCTCCCACATTAAGCTGACACGCCACGATATAACTGGAATACTGTTAAAAGCGGCGTTAAACCAAACTCACTCACTCACTAAAAGACATAGGGCCGTTGCTGATTAAGTGTCTAACAAACCCGGATCCATAGTGTGGGTGTGGTGAGTCGAGGTCATGTATTGTAAATGTAAGCGTGTTACAACTCCATTATTCGTACATGGCAATCCACAATCTATTGTTCAAATAAAAACAAACAAAAAACGCATGTAGCTGTTAAGCAATGTCATCTTCCTCTTTGTCATGGCTGCTTTTCGTCAAAACCGAATTGACCAAAAAGGCGCCAAGGAGATGCGTCGGGTTGTCGTGGCAACGACTTATGATCGTGGGTTAGAATCCCAGACTCGACCCAACTATGTTTTACAGCACTTTACCCGTTCTCGTGGTTTCATCGAAGTGGTAAACATCTAAGACCTGCATCACCTCGGGTTTTCCTCCCACATCAGAGCTGACACGCCATGATGTAAGTGGAATACTGTTCGATTGGTTGGTTGGTTGGTTTATTGTTTAACGCCGCAGTCAGCAATATTCTAGCTATATGACGGCGGTCTGTAAATAATCGAGTCTGGACCAGACAATCCAGTGATTAATATCATGAACATCGATCCATGCAGTTGGGATTGATGACATGCGTCAACCAAGTCAGCGAGCCTGACCACCCGATCCCGTTAGTCGCCTTTTACGACAAGCATAGTCACCTTTTACGGCAAGCATGGGTTGCTGAAGACCTATTCTAACCCGGAATCTTCACGGGTCGGAATACTGTTCGAAGCGGCGTTTAACCAAACTCTCACGCAATGACAAAAACTAGAAACATTCAACAGTACAGTTTGGCTTTATTGCTCTTCTTGAGTTACTGACCGCCTCCGTGGCCTAGTGGTAAAGCGTCCGCCCGGAGAGCGGATCGCGTCATACAAAAAGACGTAAAAATATGGTACTTGTTGTTACCCTGTCTGGCGCTCGGCATAAGGGACTAAAACAAGGACTGGTCGGCTCGGAGTCAGTATACTGTGTCTGAGTGAGGTGTTCATGTTAAACTGCGGCATGGTATCTCATTGAGCTAACACTATAAATCAGCATCAGTCCAGACTAGTACAAGCAGACACACGCACACACACACACACACACACACACACTCACACACACACACACACACACACACGTCGCTATATAAATGCAATAATTTTGGACGCGACGTTAAACCCCATTTCATCTCTTCTCGCCCACTGACACGTTAGCAGGACGGAGAACATTGTAGCCTCGACAAATATACAACTACATCACAAGATCAATTAAATATTGACTCCTACTCCGCAACAGTAAAATTATTTATTTGCAATATAACCGACACGCCTCAGATTGGCAAGCCAATAGACTCGTTGACCCAGCATCGATCTTTGGCGTCTCTTGCTCTCAGCGATGCTGTCAGAAGAAACGCCTAGCGATGGAGGGGTTGGGCGTGTTGACGGTTCTCGCAATATATCTTCAACTTACATGGGGTAAGTTTGATTTTAAAACCAAATAGTTTTGCAGGATACATTTGGATTTTGAGAAATTACATTTCATATTCATGTAATACAGTAAACTACGGTTATAACGAACACGCTTATAACGAACTGATGGATATTACGAACTTAATTTTTGGTCCCGGCCATTGTATATATGGTTATAACGAACTACGGTTTTAATGAACTAAAATTAGTGGTCAATTTGAGTTCGTTATAACCGTAGTTTACTGTATGTTTAAAAGTTCATTTTTGTACAGGCCATCTTTTCGTCCCTTTTCCGATATTGTTTATCATGTAATGATCATGCAATGTAATGTGTATATTGGAGGCAACCATGTGAGTTTCACAACTTGTGTAAACTTGTACCCAAGGGGCGCAACTCTGCACAGCTAATTGCGGCGCCTTAGACGACTGGGCCCCCGCAATAAGCTCGCAGTACATCAAGGAGAACCTCAATACTTAGGGTCAATTGTAAATTGTAGTTATTTGAAAGTAATGCATCCCCCAGGCCCGGCAGTTTGGCAGTAAATACGTACTATGTATACAAAATGTGTATAGAGCTGTTGGCCAATGAGGACCGCCTCCGTGGTCTAATGGTAGAGCGTCCGCCCGGAGAGCGGAAGGTCCTGGGTTCGTCCCCCAGCCGCGTCATACCAAAAGACGTTAAAAGATGGTACTTGTTGTTACCCTGTCTGGCGCTCGGTATGAAGGGGCTAAAACAAGGAGTGGTCGGCTCGGAGTCAGTATACTGTGTCTGAGTGGAGTATTCGTGATAAACTGCGGCATGGTATCTCAGTGAGCTAGCACTATAAATCGGCATCAGTCCTGACTAATACAAGCAGCCACACAAACACATACACACACATACACGTGCATGCACGTCGCTACATAAGTGCAATAATCTTGGACGCGACGTTAAACCCCATTTCACCTCACCTCACCTGTTGGCCAATGGGTGGTGAGATTGTGAAAATTCTGTGTGGAAAGTGTGCGGAGAGTGGGGATGGGGACTGGAAGATGCTGGGAGGAAAATTCTGAACGTAAAGTAAAAATCATGCTCATTGACTTTCACATAAAACCTTAATAGTCATTCTGTCGTTCCAACAAGCCAAAAAAACAACAACTTTCAATCAATGTGACACAGGCATAATCAACATGTTCTTCAACTGTTAATCACATCGTCAACATACACAGACCTAGTGATCTTTTTGGCATATGTTCCATTTGACACCCTACACACCTAGGTGACCCTTCAATAATGACACGGAGTGTATATGCAGACATGTACGTATATTTCTGCACTATTTCTGGTCTTTTGCTGCAATATTGCTCCCCTCTTCCAGAAAACGTTCGTTTTCAAATTATGTATCAAAATTAATTCTTGAACTACTAAAGCTAAATACAAAATTCAGTTTTGATGATGTCACCTTGATATTTTAGAATGGCAGCCCGTTGTAGCCTTTGTTTTGTTTGAATGTTGTTCAACGTCGCACTCGGCTTTATTCCAACTATATGACGGCGGTCTGTAAAGAAGTATTCTGGACCGGACAATCCAGTGATGAATATGTTGTCCCACTCCGTAGGGTGCGATGCCTGACAACCACCAGTCACCAAGGCGACCAAGTGCCCGATTTGTTTAGTCGCCTCTTCTAACCCATATTGTGTCCAGGGTGCCGTTGTACAAAGTGAACTTAGCGCTAAGGTGATTTCAACTCCCATACCTTAACATAGATAGTCGTAGCGCTAAGGATGTTTTGTACAACAGCACCCTGGAAGGCTATGTTGTCACACACCACACCAGGAACCTGTTCCACAAAGTGATCTTAGCGCTAAATTGGTCGTAACTCCCATACTCTATCATAGGCTTACGATCAACATAGCACTGAGATCGCTTTGTGGAACAGGGCCCTGGCCTAAGTTCCATGCATGCACTGGCTTCCACTTGAGGTGAGGTGAGGTGAGGTGAGGTGAGGTGAGGTGAGGTGAGGTGAGGTGAAATGGGGTTTAACGTCGCGTCCAAGATTATTGCACTTATATAGCGACGTGCATGTACGTGTGTGTGTTTGTGTGGCTGCTTGTATTAGTCCGGACTGATGCCGATTTATAGTGCTAGCTCACTGAGATACTATGCCGCAGTTTAACACGAATACTCCACTCAGACACAGTATACTGACTCCGAGCCGACCACTCCTTGTTTTAGCCCCTTAATGCCGAGCGCCAGAAAGGGTAACAACAAGTACCATTTTTTAACGTCTCTTGGTATGCCGCGGCCGGGGATCGAACCCCGGACCTTCCGCTCTCCGGACGGACGCTCTACCACTAGACCACGGAGGCGGTTGGCTTCCACTTGAAGCTAGGATAATTTTTAAAGTTCTTTTTCTGACATATAAATGTCAGAGACATTGTCTCTGTGTAACTGTTGGATCGTTCCACACCATCAACCTTGAACAGGCAGACAAAATGGTGTTTAAGGGACTTGAAGCACAGTTAATTGAACTGGGTGCCGTTGTACAAAGCGATCTTAGTGCTGGGGTGGTCGTAACTCGCATGCCTTAACATAGACTTACGAATATCGTAGTGCTAAGGTTGTTTTGTACAACGGCACCCTGCCAAATATCCTGAACGAAGTCCACCTTTAAGAGATTTCACCATCCTCGAGTATTCGTACGTACCCTTGTGTTAGTGAGTGAGTGATTTAAAATTAAACGTCGAATCGGCATTTTTTCAGCTATATAGCGACGAGAACACACACACACACACACACACACACATATATATATATATATATATATATATATATATATATATATATGACTCACTTGTGTGTATATAAGTGAGTCATGAATACAAAGTGCTATTTAGAAACAAATTTGTCAACCATATTTGGGCAAAATATATATAGAATACAATACTAAACGAGCTCCCGTGTAATACCAATTTTATGAAATGAGTTAACTGTTCTGGTATCTAACGGGCGAAATTTAATTAATTCATGTTGACAAATTAGGTTGCAGGCACAGGGGGATGTAGGCACAGTGGGATGTAGGCACAGTGGGATGTAGGCACAATGGGATGTAGGCACATTGGGATGAAGGCACAGTGGGATGTAGGCACAGTGGGATGTAGGCACAATGGGATGTAGGCACATTGGGATGAAGGCACAGTGGGATGTAGGCACAGTGGGATGTAGGCACAATGGGATGTAGGCACATTGGGATGAAGGCACATTGGGATGTAGGCACAGTGGGATGAAGGCACAGTGGGATGTAGGCACAATGGGATGTAGGCACAATGGGATGAAGGCACAGTGGGATGAAGGCACAGTGGGATGTAGGCACAATGGGATGTAGGCACAATGGGATGAAGGCACAGTGGGATGTAGGCACAATGGGATGTAGGCACAGTGGGATGAAGGCACAGTGGGATGAAGGCACAGTGGGATGTAGGCACAATGGGATGTAGGCACAATGGGATATAGGCACAGTGGGATGAAGGCACAGTGGGATGTAGGCACAATGGGATGTAGGCACAATGGGATATAGGCACAGTGGGATGAAGGCACAGTGGGATGTAGGCACAGTGGGATGTAGGCACAGTGGGATGTAGGCACAGTGGGATGTAGGCACAGTGGGATGTAGGCACAATGGGATGTAGGCACAGTGGGATGTAGGCACAATGGGATGTAGGCACAGTGGGATGTAGGCACAATGGGATGTAGGCACAGTGGGATGTAGGCACAATGGGATGTAGGCACAGTGGGATGTAGGCACAATGGGATGTAGGCACAGTGGGATGTAGGCACAATGGGATGTAGGCACAATGGGATGTAGGCACAATGGGATGTAGGCACAATGGGATGTAGGCACACTGGGGCTGAACCTATCCTTACATATAAAGAGTTCAAAGTGCAACTGCCGTGATACTGCTGAAATATTACTAAAAGCGGCGTAAAAACTCACTCACTCACTCATTTAACATTTAACTCATTGCAATATTGGCTAGTATTGTGCACAACCACCAGTACCTAAAGTGATGACGTAAATCCTGCTAGGGTATCGTGCAGGAAGCCGAGGTACTGTTAGTCCCCATGATCCCCAGCGAGGTGACCTAGCTTTGGTTACTGGTGGCCATTAGCCCGTTTTTTAAACTGTTGTAAATATATACTGGTCATGGACCAGTTAACGCAATTTTTTCATGTTATTTCTGACATTTTCCGTTGTCAATGTTGACAGTACCAATAACTTTATTTTTTGTAAAACTATGGAGCTATTTCTGACCGTGAAATAAGATAAGTTGATTTCTGTTATAACGCTATGATAGTGAATCAAACTTGGAAATAGAACTTTCCCGTCGACTTTCTTTACCAGTTATCGCCTTCGTCTTAACAGCCTGTGCCACGTGATCACGTGCACCGCTTCAGCTATACAAATTACATTTTTTGGTATCTAGGGTGTCGCACTCAAATTTGTTATTCATCAAAATGAATAAGATATGCTATTATGAATTTGTCGTTTGCAATCTGACGTACACCAATATTCCCAAAATTTGATTTACACGTGCTTATCCTCAACACAATGTAATATGGATTACGCGATATATACAGGCTGTGCATTTCAGGAAATATAGCTCAAATAGGTTCCAGAATTGTATTTTGGGGAAGAAATGCCACAGAAAGAAAGCAATGACAGAACTGAAAGTGCATCATCGTGTGTTTTGGTTTATATTTTCGCGACTATGAGTCACGTGACTCCGCCCGCGTGTCTTTTCTAAAGTTGTATTCGAGCAAGGTGATCATGCTGGGTTTTTTTTCAAAAGAATCCTTCACATGTTTTTTTCATCATTTTCGGATAAATATTTCTCTCTCGTAATCAAAACGAGCAAAAGTGAAATTAGATACGATCATGTGCGCACAATAACGGGGAGTTGGCGACAATTGGTCCTTGGCGATAACTGGTCGCTAGCCATTAGAATACTTAATGGGGCCTTTACAC